AACCTCCTCCTCAGCCTCCTCCTTTCCTTGCCCTCTTTATAGTCCCCTCCCCTCCTGCTGCCTCCCTTCCCCATTCTTGACACCGATAGGTGGAGATCTGCGGGCTATACCAGGATGTGGAGCAGAGTTTCTACGAAAAAAACCAAAAAACCACGAAACAAAACATATTGGAAGCAAGAACTGTAACCTGAGCCTTCTGAATCTGACTCTGTTCGGCTTCCTACAGCAGTGACCTGATGTGCCTGCGCATCTCGGGGACCCACTGCACTCTCATGCTTGCTCAGAGTTTCCCATATTCGTGGCCAGCATCTAACCTGCGGCCTTCCATCCTGGAATCACCTCCCCCACCCCTTGCATTTTAGGCTCCCCAACACCAAACTCTTACTAGAAAGGCCCTGAAATTCCTCTTTGCTTTGCTTGATGTCCTTCGGCCCCCACCCCCACCCCGCACACTCATTGCCCCAAATGCCCACCCCAGCCGGGCCCCCTGGGCTTTCGTGGTGAGCACTGATGGGCCAGCAGACGCTCAGCTGATGGCCAGCCTCGCAGTTAGGGTGCTATCTTCAGGGAGCTTCCCTGGCCTGTGAAGGGTTTTGAGATCAATATCTACTTCCAGCGGGCAGTCTTTCAACTTCTGATAGCCAGGGCACAGTGTGCTGGGACCATCACTCTGGCAATCTGGCCAGCACATGAATCACAGGGGCCTTCTTGGTAGCCCTGCATTCTATTTGCTGATGAATGTACTGTCTTTCAGGTGTAATGGTTATGCTGGGGTGACCGTGCGGTGCAGTGGACCCCACCCAGGATCTGTAAAGCATAACCGTTGCTTAAAACTCTACCATGCATGGGCTGTGTCATCAGTTTCTGTATCTGCAAAATGGGGATAACAAAACAGTGGAGTCCGGTTACCTATACATTAATACTTTGGGAAGACACTCAACGTACTCGGAAAAAAACAACTGAAAATGACCCAACCACTGCAATATATACAGACCCACACGGAATGATTTCATACAAATAGCCACTAAATAAAATCTGCTTCTATATTTCAGCACTAAAAGGAAAACTGGCTGTGTTGCACATGCAAATAGTATAATATATAGGGAAGCACATCCACTGCAGTCTGCAACTTAGGGAAGTTTCAAGGGCAATTTTGATGGTGTCCGATTTTCACCTTTTGTGCTGACTTGAGAACATAAGGCCCCAGCAAGCTAGGACTTGCAATCTACGGGGTCATTGTAAGGACCTGATGAAAATGATGTATCTAAAAATGCTTTGTAAACTGTAATGCCAATTGTCAGTTATTTCTCTTATCGTCAGGGGGAGGGGTCCTTTAGTTGTTCCAGAGATAGTGAGAAATTGACGTCGCCTCCTTTTTGTCCACTACGGTTCAGAGCCAAGCAACATTTGTTGAGGTAGCAGACCAGTAGCACCTTTTCAATGCTAAGACGACAACAGTCTTCACCCAGTTCACCTCAGTTGACCCCTCCACGTTGACGTCTAGGCCTCTATGCTCTTTAGCGCCGGGCCCCTCCTGGTTGCCTGTCCTCACAGCTAAGCTCCCCTGGCTGTCATCTGGGACTACTCACCATCCCATCCAAACTGGACCTGGGCACATGTATGATCCTTGGCACGAGTGAAAACTCGTGACCTAAATCTGATAATGATGCCTATGTCTCTATTTTGCTAGCTCTTAGTACCACGCACGTCGAACATAAGGACATGGCCTTCTTTCTGGCAGCTTCCTTCCCCGGGCTGAAGTCCAGCCCCCTGAACTCAGGCAATGACCTTCTCACCAGATTTCCTGAAGGCCTTGCTGCCTGTCTCCTGGGATGGGGTCCTGCCTGTGGAAGCGCATGGTGGAGAGGGGGGGAGGGTCACAGTTATCGCTCCAGACTGATGTTGGTTCAAATTCCAGTCACATCACTTACAAATCGCGTCATTTTGAGCCAGTTACTTATACTATCTGAGACTCCCTTTCTTCATTGGTGGAATGAGAATGCTAAAACACTGACTTGGCAGAGTTTTAAAGATTAAATAAGGTAACGTAAGTAAAGATCTCAGCACTGTGCCCAAGGGTTTGCATGGGGCAAACTCTTAATAGATGTTAGCTCTTATCTTTCCAGCTGCCCGATCAGTCTACTCTTCCTGGTGGCTCACTCACCTCGTCATCTCACGTGGGACCTCCCTGATGCCAGCTGCCACTTGCCTTACCTGCTACCCATCATCCTGCCCTTCCGACACCAATTCCTGCCCACTGCACGGGATATCCACCTGCAGCTGTATCCGTTCTCCTTGGTTCCTGCTCCAAAGCTGTGGGCACACCTCTTTCTAGGTCTCAGCCACAGCCGTCCCATTGCCCGACTGTGTTTTCTGCCATGACAACCATCTCTGGGATCTACCAGCTGATCAAAGCAGCCCAGGTAAGAAAGCATGCACAGCACCCGGCAGATGTTCAGAAGGTTGTTTTTTTTTTTTTTTTTTTTTTTTTTTTTTTTTTTTGCCTATGTAGGAGAGAGGATGCCTCACGTAGCACATCTTCAATTATGTATAAAGCTATCAGCTTACATTTTGAAGGAGTCTTGCTTTCTTCACACATCAAAGACATCCAAAAAATTAAAAAGTCAAATGTATACAAACCGCAATGGGCATAGGGGTTCTCAAAAACTGTTGACTGTGTTACTAGAAAATAAATTGTATAGCATTTCTCAAATGTAAAAACTGTATTAAATATTCAGGATTGTTAGTATCTGTTTTTTTTTCTATCAGACTCACAATTATTAATAAATCTACTGATTACCTCTAGCAGAAGAAAGTTCTGTTCTGAGAATATCTAAGAAAAATCACAGATTTCTATGGTTTGCCTAAAGTATGCTCACCTTCTGTGTCTCGCTTTACTAGTATCCTCTGTGGTTTAGTAAATCACTATATGAATATATATGGATAAGAAACAAAGATTCAAAAGGAACTGACATTTGTTGTGTTGTAGGCATGAGATTCTTGATGTGTGTTCTTCCCTCTTAATCCTGACGGATGATCTCTATCAGGCAGGAAATGCCACTTGACAAGGGAGGAAAGAGATTCACAAAGGTCGGTGCAGCAGTCCACAGTCACGGCGAGTGAACCAAGGTTGGGCTCCAAGTCCCTGCTTTCCGCGCCCCCCCCCCAACTGCCGCCTCCCACCGCTCCATGCTGCCTCCAAACATTTCCTAGACTCTCTTTATTAATTTATCTTTTCATAATTGTATTCATCTTCTTATAGCAGGAGGGCAAAGTTTTCTTCCTTTTCTTTATTGCGGAATCCTAGATGGACCGACGTTTCTAACGTGCAAGCCCATATGGGCTTTTCTACAAATACTCTTCATACTGATAACACAATAACCAGATTAACTTTTCTGTCATATCGCCTCGACTATAAAAGGCTTTTTACATAGTTTTATAAAATTAGGGTATGCCTTATAGTTGATCTATAGTAGTATACCTTCCACCACCTGCAAAGGATGTTAGCAAACCAGAGGTTAGAATCAATGCATGCAGAATAAGATATTTGCACCTGCACTTGGATTAGTGACAGAGGACGGAGACCCCACAATCTTGGGCTCAGAGGACCCCAGCCAATATCTCCTATAGTTACTGCTGGGGTGTGGGGTCTGGGGCAACAAGGAGCCACTCAGCATGAGGGCAGCACCGGCTCATAAGTACAAGGCACAGCCCAGAGTTTCAGCTCAGCGTCCTGGTAAGTATTTATTCGCTTGCATTGAGGAGAAGGCACTATGTGCACATCCATTTGCGGGCTGGGTTGGACCCCTACGTGTCAGACAACAGGTGCTCTGTACTGCCCAATGTAAGCAAGTCTGCCAGACTTCCAGTCTCCCTGCTGCATTAGAAAGGGTCTCTCTACAGAGTTTTGCAAAGCAGATCTCCAGGAAATGTTTTAGATGGGAATGGCTTCTTTCCTCCCCTCTCGTTGCCAGGTCCCTAATAATGACACAGTTTCAGGAAACTCCTCATTCCCATTCAGCAAAACTGCTCCCAATCCCTGGCTTTCAGTTATCTGCCATGCATAGACATGAATGAGCTCTAAGAGGTATGCACTTAAGCCTAAATCCCCCCAGACAGCAATGCACTGATTTTTAGTGTGACTTAAAAGGCAGGACATGGTTCTGAAATGTAATGGAGAAAATGATCTATAATTGAGAAGAAGGGACTGGCATTCACAGTCCTATTTTGGTCCCAACTGGTAAGAAAGCCCTCCCA